ATCAAACAGTGGATTTTCAGGCTAAGGTACTGTCAAAGCTTACTGTGTGATTGTCTGCATGATGGTGTTATGCCTTCAAATATACCAACTGCAAGCAGAAATATAAACACCAGTGTGGGTGAATGGGGGTCCGTAGTGACACAGAGTCCCCCAGGCAGGTGCAAAGGAGAGCTGCTTTATTGCAAAACCCAGGCCTTTTTGAGCAGTTAGCCCATTATCAGCTACATACTTTTAAATCATAACAAACATAATTCAAATCATAACAAGCATAATTCACCATGCACTACGATGTGAACGCACCATGGTTACGTAACTTGTTTTCTACCCCTAATTCAGCTGAGTCTCTTTCCCACAGTCCTTTTCTAGTTAACCAAAGTAACAGGCCTGAGCCATTTTATAAGGCCTTCCTTTTATAAGGTTTTACTGATATGCAACACAAGAGATATTCAGTTGGGGAACAGAGGAAACTGAAATTAGGGTTCAGTCCTGAAGTGGTGTGTATAGTTCTCTTCCTTATCTCACGTGTTTTACAAGTTTAGCATGGAGATCACTTTTTCGTTTATCTTGAAAAATATTCTTATATACTGCTGTAACATGTTCATAGATGAAAGTTTGGTTGGAGATTAACATTTTTAAAAAATAGAAGAGCTTTATAGTCTTTCCTTCTTTATCTGAAAGCATTTTAAAAGAAATAGATCTGAATCTGTATATACAGAATTGGTACAAGTTAAGAACAGTGTTTTGTTCAGGGAGAGATAAATACAAGAAAATGGATGGTAGAAATTTTGAAATTATATAAAATAAAATGTAGCAAGAATGTATGTGCTGTTCACTGTTTTAAACTCTTGTGCATGACACAGAGATTATGTTTGTATAAAGCTAAAAGGAAAATAAAAATTCCCTTCATTTTCGATCAATTTGAGTCAGCTTTCTGGAGTTTCATCTTGTTAATTTTCACTTCATGATCTATAATGTCATTTGATTATAAAATATAATAGCTTAAAAGGAATAATGTAGAAAATAGTCTTGTAATAGCATGTAAATAATTAGATAGGGATTCTCATTAGATCATTTTAGTGTAACATTATTTGGTTTCCTGAACTCCTGGTGTACATGTATGTATTAGTCAATTAGAAGGAAAATGTGACAGTTAGCCCAAGGGTTTTGTTGTTCAGTATAAGTTTTATTTTTAGTTTGTCAGTTGATCCAATCTATTAGTCACCATGTTATCAGCTGAATCTAAGAAGAACAACACCACATGTGGAGTCTAATGGAGGGATAAAAGTTCATTTTTCAAAAAAATAAAATAATGTATATGCTTTTCCGCAAGTTTCAGAACAAAAGAGCAAATCTCCTTCTTTTAAATATGTCTGTGGTCTCAGAAGAAATAGGTCCTTTCTGTTCATTTAATTTGTTTTCTTTTTTTCCCTCAAAGTTGATAACTTCATTGACATTTGTGATTAATTGGGTTTTAAAGATGCTGACATTTAAAGTTGATCCTCCTTCTTTACTGCTTCTGTAACAAAACTCTGCTTACAATTCTTTTCACCTATTTTTCTGTGCAATAGTCACTGATGCTTAGCTGTTGTAGTTAGTGTATATTAAAGTTCTGTGTTGATCTAAAACTTCTTACTTAAAGAGATAGTGTAAAGATACAGTACTTTCCTCTTTTACTATCTAGAAACAAGAGTATATTTGGAAATAAATCATAGCAATGTGGGATGTTTATTCCTAATTTTTTATAACTACTTGAAGAATTTATGTTGTTCTGCATAAGATATTTATTGCCTGTGGGCATATTTATTGCCTGTGTGCAACATTTGGAGTGTATTCTTATGCTGGAAAAACAGAGATCCTTATTTCTTTTGATATTTCTCAAATTTTTATTCTTGCTCTATGTTACTAAGCTTTCAGTAGGAGAGGTGGAGGGTAGTCGCAAGAAGTTTAGCAGAGGGGTCCCTCTGGGATGGGTGGGCCATGATCCCTTACATGGTGCCACAAGTAAATTAGAAGTTAGGGAGATCAAGGGAATTTTCAGTATCCTTCTTCATAGCCATTGAGTTTTGAATTGTCATTTCACTGAAAAATCTTTGTAGCTGTAGAAGATATCATGACACAGTATTTGCTGGGGGATGTTTCTTATGGATCTTTAAAGCAGTTCCTCAATTCCCCTTCTGCTAATGTTTTCTTAAAAAAAAAAAAGCATTAGAAAGATATTAAGGAAGATATTATCTTCTTAATGAAGAATTATATGCTGAATTAGTAAAATAATTGTGTCAGTAATTTGATGTAGTGGCAAAGTGTCTAGAACTAAACTGGTGGTAATTGATAAAAACAAAAATAGATTTTCCTGATGTACAGCTTTACAAAGAGGAAAGCAAACCTGAAATTAAAATATTTTTCAGCTGCTACTGTTCTGAGCTTGTCAAGTTATGCTAGTTATTCTTCTAAATGCAGTTTAATTTTTTTTTCTGGCAGCTGATTTGCCCCCTGCAATTTTTTTCTATTTTGCTCTATTTACATCTATGCAAATAATAATTTTTTTAAGTGGCATGTTCTCTGAATAATGTAAATATTTTCTCTCTGGAGATATTAGGGGCAACTGCATTTTAGCTCCCTTGTTGTGAGGGAAGCCAAAAAGAAAAATCAAACACACATGCATACACATTTACACACTGAAATCATGACATGCTGAAGGAATACAAGAGAGAACCCTGGAGAAATAACATTTCTGCAATAGTGCTTCTCTCTGGCTGGCTACCTCCAATAGAAACATAGAATAAGTATACCCAGTGAGAGATGAACTGAAGCTGTGATGCAGTGGGAGTGAAGAAAATTAGTTATTTGAAAAGAGTACAACCTTAGAGAAAACTAACCATATCATAGCAAGGGTGTAGGAGGTAGGAAAAGTCTTCTGCTTGTGTAATCCTTGGACTGCTTTGTCTTACAACACTTACGTATGCTAGCCTTGCTAAACATTCCAGTTTATTAAATTCCTTAGAATGAATGCATTTTATTTTAGGGAAGAGACACTTATACTACTGCTTTACATTAAGGAACCAGTGCTTCCATTAATTTAATATAGACTTACTTCACATGATTCAGAATGAAGATATAAACTATCTGGAATAAAAAGCTAGCTCATATTTAACATCGTATTTTAGTGAGAGGACATAGTAGCATCATTTTGGAAAAAGTGCGCTTGCTTAGTATAACCACTTAATGGAGCATAAGAAAGCTTTTAAATAGCTGATGTATTGACCTTAGAGGAAGAGTAGTGCTTGTTCTATCTGTCCATCTCAAAATCTAACATTAGAGAAGTGCATGTATTTAAAGTTCAAAGGCCATCTTCAAATACAAGCATGGAGCTGGAAATATCAGTTATTAATTGTTTCATTCGATTCTGGAGAATAAACGAGAAATCTGCAGAGAGTCATACCTACAAGTCCTGTTTCCAGACAGATAGATTAGTTATTGCACCTATTCACTAATCTACATGCTTTGTTATCAGGAGCACTTACAGTTTGTCAAAGTTGGGCATATGACTGTACTTGGGAAAAATGTATGGCAGATAACACAGTTGTTTATAGAATTGAATGGCTGGATCACAAGGGAAATACAAATCAGAGATGCTGAGGTCACAAAGGAAGAGTAGGAATGGTTTAAGGGAGTGGAGACCACTAATGATGACAGTGAATCAGGAGGAAGGGAATAAGATTATTTTTGTATAACCAGGCATGAAAAAATAGGATAAGAATTAATGTAGTTGGAACATGAAAATAGAATTGTGCTCAAGTTGTTTCAAGGAGCCAAAAGTCCACCGGACTCTACTTGAACCTAAACTAACGGAAACTAATATCCTGTGTCCGGTACAGTTGGGATTAATGCCAAAAAGCACAGCTGAAATTATTTCACAAGTGTGGAGAATTTTCTTTTGGGAATTGATAAAGACCAGACATCCACACTTGTTCTTCATTAGATAATGCTAATTGTTTTGTCTGGGAAAGGTATCCAGCATTTACAATGCTTCAGCAAAGAAGCATTAAAAACCCTTCAGAGAAGACTCAAAACTTGCACTGAATAACAAAGTATGCATCCCTCTTAGACTGGTTGTGTTTTCACTGTTCACTGCATTAACCTTCCCTAGAAAACTGGATCAGATTGAAGTTTCTACCCATTAGGCTTGAGGTGTTCCTTACTCTGCGTTCACAGCATCAATAGATAAAGCTCTGGTATTAACAACAGTGACTGACAGCTGCTCTCCTCTGCCCAGTGTTACTTGCTTTAGTAATTGCAAAAGAGAGAAACTGAGCTCTTTTATGGGCTGGTTTGAGCCAGCTGGATACCTGCTTCAGGAATTAAGACTTTGCAATCCAGTGAGAAGAGTATACATGTTTGATTTTTTTTTTTTTCCAGGAGCATAACTGTATATGAAAGAAAATGTTCTCTCAAACTCTTAGAGTTTTAACTAATAAACTTACATAATGTGGGGACATTGCTTAATGAGTTTCTAGTGGGTCTCATTATGTAGTGATGTTAATCACATTTTTGACAGATTTTGAGAAAATAATTTTTTGATAACTGAAAAAGTGTGTATATAACTTACAGAATGTTCCATGATTTTTGAGTGTAGAAGGAACATTTCAGATACAGCAAGAATTTTCTTTTACACTGACTGTTTGAAATAGGTTTATTATGTTCAGTAAGACAGCATTGTTGAAGTATTGCTAAATGCTTTGTAATTGTGTATAAACATTAATACATATACCAACTTATATGCATATTTATAAAATCCAAAACCATAGATTTGATCTGGGAAAAAAAAAAAAAAGAACAGGAAAAAAGAAAGGCTTTTGCTGAACAATATTTTTTTTGTTCCTCTATAATTTGCAGAGCTCACATTATTTAAAATCATGCTTTTGGAATTTGAAGTACCAGAATATTAATTTTTGATTTAAAAGAGTTTATAGTAAACTAAAATGTGTATATTTGTCTTTCAGGAGTCAGTAAGCTGATCCATCATTTACACAAACACAAGATACCCATTGGTGTTGCCACCAGCTCGAGTGTATCATCATTTGAGATAAAAACAAGCAGACACAAAGACTTATTTAGTCTTTTTCATCATATTGTGTTGGGAGAGGATCCTGAGTTGAAGCGTGGCAAGCCGAATCCTGATCCATTTTTACTTTGTGCAAAGAGATTTGAACCTCCTGCACCGCCAGAGAAGGTAAGAGGGGGAGGGCACAAATTAAATTTAGGAATTTTCTGTTTAAGCTATATTTGGATTAATTTTTTTTAATATAATAAAGACTTAGATTAATATAAACATTATTAAAGTCAGCAACCCCCATTTTCAAAGATGTTTGTGCTGTCAAAGAGAGGGATTTCCATCCACTACATTTAGAGTTTGTGTTGCAGATTGCTCTGATTTGCTACGTGGTAGCATGCAGTAATAGGAAAGTGTAATGATTTTCTGCTGTATATATAAATCTGCAAACTTAACTTCACTGTTCAGAGTTTGGAAACATTCATGACTGATTTACCTCTTAAGTGTCGGAACATTAAATATAGTTCTTTGTGATGAGGACATATATTTTTCTGAAGGTATATCTTTCCACTAGCAGCCTAAATCTCTGAGATCATAGTCCTTGTTTCCGATTTAAAATTATCAGTTTGAGCAATCTTTTTCAAATAAAAGATATGTTAATTTTTCCTGTCTTATATATAACTTTACAAACTATTCTGAAGTAGAAATCTGTAGGGAGAAAATTTCACATAAACTGAGAGTTAGTTAAAACAATGTCTTCATTTTTATTTTAAATTAAATTGCCTTTAAATTGCCAAGTGGAATGTAAGTTCTGAAGTTTTGGAGTTATTTTCATTACTGCAGAAAATGTGTTGCATGCTAATTTTAAGGAAGAAATTTATGTAGATTAGACTGTGATTACTGTTCTCTCAGTAGAATTATTGGTACTACACAAGTACCTATGGAATGATTAGCTAAGATTCCTCACCTTTTATACTTCAAAATCTCACCCAGAGTCTAAATGGTATTTTCATTGCCTGGGAATACAAAGTGAATTAAGTTTGGTGCAGTGTGGTTTACTTTTGAACAGAGTTAGCCAGACTGGGTTTGGGTTTTGGTTTGATTGTTTTTCTGTTGCAATTTCTTTTGATGTTCTGTATGTGTGAATCTACTTCTTTGTAAGCTTGCATGTTCGGAAATGATATGCCAAATGTACACAGCCAAGGAAATTGAATGTCAGCTGTGTTAATGGCAAATTAAACTATAATTTCATGGGAGGAGCAGGACAGCTTTTTCAAAACTCTTAGTTTATGTGGTTCTGTTTCAGAAAACCCACAAGATAGTAATACTTAACAAGAACAAAAAGTTTAAAAACAAACCAAAAGGAAGCAACAAAACCAGTGAACCAGTGACACTGTGTAGATACTTGTATTCTTTAGTTGTGTTAGCTTTGAAAAAAAAAATATGAGGAAACAATAGCATCTGTATTACACTTAATATTTTTAAACTTTAAAGGTATGTTAGACAATCAAAGTCACAGATCGTTAATAGTAGTTGTGTATTTTTAATTTTGTTAACTTTTCTTTGAAGAAGGGCCTAGATATTTGAATCCATATTTTTCCTTTGTTAGAAGTTTACAGCATCAACTTTCCTGAGTGCAGATAATTCAGCTGAACTTTTTTTTTGTTTCATCTACAAAAGTCACAAATGTTAGTGTGGAAAATTTACAATTGCACAGAATTCCCAAGAGGAAGGAAGTGAAAACAGTGCATGTGAAACTATCCAAAACATTTGTGACTAGTTGCAGTGTAATAGTGTCATCTGCAGTGTTTTGTCCCAAGCAAAGAACTAATAGAGCTACAGGTTTGGGTTTCATGCCAGCAGTCATTAACATGCAAGGATGCAGCCAGGTATCAGGAGGTAAAGCTAATATCTACATAAGCAAATAATTGGACTTAAGAAAAACAACTTGTTAGAGCACCATAGGCAGTGCTTGGGCTCATATATCTATGTTATTTATTATTTGAATGTTTTCAATTGGATTGGATTTACTGTGATCCCGGGCTGAGATGAGGTTCTTTGGAGCTTTATGTACTCTTAAACATTGGTGGTTGCTTGATGAGTGCCTGCAGAGAACTTTCACTGGAGCTGCTGGCTGGCTGCTAGCTGTAGTGTCATATCAGCAAGTGGCTCTTGCTGTGCAGGCATACTTGTGCAAGTAGACCAGTATTTAAGTGATATATAAATGGATATGATATCTGCTATGCTGTCATTGAAGGATGTCATAAATATTCGTCTTGAAATTTGTTAGATGTTGATCTTTCGGTTTGCAGTCTTCGCTTAACTAGGAACTTAATAAGCATAATGATAAAATGATAGCACAGGAACTTCAAAAAAGATACAGCTTGCAAATTCAGCCTAGGTTTCCTATCTTGTGCTGCATGAAGCATCATATGAACTTCCAACACTAGTGCCAATGCCTGGTCATATGAGTAGTTAAGTAAATCAGCCAGATAGTCAAAATATGATCTGGAAATTCAATACTAGAAATTTTGTATTTTAATAAAATTTATTTTTAAAATATATTCCAAATTTTGCTCTCAAATGCACAGATGCAACTTGTATGAAAACTATCTGGAGCTTTTCATAGTATTATTTCCTTTTGGATTCTGGTCAGGGAATACTTTAACAAACAGAACATTAATAAATCCAGGCATACTAATGAGATGCACTCTCAAGTGCTGAGAGATCTGGAAGATGTCATTAAAAGAACATTTTCCATAATCTTTGATCTATCATGGCCATTGGGAGAAGTGCTCGAAGGCAGTAGACAGCAAATATCACTCCTGTGTTGAAGCCAGGCAAGAAGGATGACCCATGAAGCTGCAGGCTTCTCAGCCTCATCCCGATCCCTGAAAAGAGATGATTTAACAACTTATCCTGAAAATCATTTCCAGGCACAGTAAGGATAAGCAAACCATCAGGAGAAATCAGTATGGCTACACCAAGGGAAAGTCATGCTTAACAAACCTGGTTAACTTCTTTGATGAAGTGACTGTCCTGGAGGACATGGTGAGAGCAGTGGCTTTGTCTACCTGAACTGCAGTGATGCCTGTGACATTCTCGCCCATATGATGTGGATGAGCAGACAGTGAAATGGTTTGAAAACTGGCTGAGTGACCAGGCTCAGAGGATTGTGATCAGTGGCACAGTTGGGTGCCAGTGATTAGTGGTGTGCTCTGAGGGTGAATACTGGGTACAGCCCTGTTTAACATCTGCTTTAGTGGTGTGCATGAATTAAGAGAATGCTCAATAGGATCTTATTAATGCATATGAATACCTGAAGAAAGACTGTAATGAAGAAGGAGACAGACTTTTTTCAATGATGCCCAGTGATGGAACCAGAAGCAATGGACACAGACATACACAGGACACTGAGCACAAGGAAACACTTTTTTGTACTGTGAGGATGGCCAAGCACTTGCAAAGGTTGTCCAGGAGGTAGTGGAGATACACAAAGTATGTCTGGACACAGTCCTGTGCAATGGAGGAGGCTGGACCAGATGAGCTCTGGAGGTCCCTTGCAATCTCACTCATCCTGTGATTCAGTGATTAACTTCACAGATTTGATCTGGGAAAAAAAAAAAAAAAAAGGAAAAAAGATAGGCTTTTGCTGAACAATATTTTTCTGTTCCTCTATAACTAACAGAGCTCACATTATTTAAAATCATGCTTTTGGAATTTGATATACCAGAATATTAATTTTTTATTTAAAAGAGTTTATAGTAACCAGGCCATTTTTTGGTGTATTTTCATAATTTATACATATATATATTTATATATCAATGGTAATTTTCAGTGCTATCTTGAAGAACTTTTGTTTCATAATAACAAAAATGGCATGCAAATAAATTTATTTTAAATATGGCTCTGAATAAGAGGGTTTCTGACATTTGCATGCCAACATTTATTCATATTTCCAATATATTTCTGTCATCAAAACCACACAGATTAATTAACTTCCTGCTTAAGGGCATTGAAGGCTAAGGCATTGCTTTCCAGTATTTTGGTTTATTTGCTTATAGCTTTTCTGTAAAATGAAGGACCTTAGTAGTAGTTTAAAAGCAAATAAATCCATTTATATTCACTTTTTAAACAGAGGGATAGATTGTAGTGATACAAATGGTCATAACTCTCTTATGAAGAATCAATCTGTTCTATTTAAAAAGTTCCAAGTGATGTAAATCATTGCCTTAATTTAAAACACTATTTCTTTGCCATTTCTTCCATTTCTAATTAATTAATTGATCCCATAGTTACAAATAATCTCTGTACCAAATCTAGAGAGAGCTCATTAAAATTTTTTCAGACTGATTAAATAGCATTAGGATTTATGAATCTCAGTGGGCATTTTGTCATAGAATGGAGAAGTTCAAAGAGAAATTTCCTGTGACTTTTTTGCTCTAGAAGACATAATGAAAGAACAGTAGATTCAGAACATAATGACATTCCAATATTTTGTAATTTTATTCTATATTGTACAACTAAAACAGGATAAAGAAGGCTAATTTAGCACTTAATGTGACCATTGGTATTGTGGGCCGTTATAAAAAAGGATGCTAAAACTGGTTTTCTCTATTATCCACTTAATTTTTAAACTTTTTCTACCTTTTTTTCCCCACTCAACTTCTCCATTTTTACTGTATGCATGTAGTGTATATATTTTACTCACTATGGTTTTCAGATAAACAGTATTTAATTAGTGATGTTGCTGTTATTCCTTGTGTATACCTGGAGGTTGAATGTATTAGGAGTACTTTATTTAAAGTACAGAAATTACAGACATGAACAACCATTCATAAGTGGTGCACTGAGCTGTAAATTGGAATCCCTGCTGTTCAAATCAATGTTTTAGTCACCATAAATCTGTCCCTTTTCAATTTTATTGGCTTATACTCTTTCCTGAGTTTACGATTCACAATTTTTTTATTTTAGAAATAAAGGCATTAAGTGTAAAACCACTGACATTTTTCAGCTTAGTTCAAATATACGTCAATGTCTTTTTCTTCAAGCTTGGCTCTAGTTTTTCTTTGCATAGGCTTAGATTACCAATTTTTTCTCATCTGAAACAACCGTCTAAATAGCTGTTCATGGTATGAACCATTCTGATTTATCCAAGCCCTTCTGCCTTGTTTCCTTGG